AGAAATGGAAAAATGAATTATAGAAAGCTGTCACCTTTCCAACGCAGACTTTTGTTTATAAAGAAGAGAGAGACAATAAACTGATACTTTAATATCTTTCTTCTCCACTGAGTCTTCAGTCTCTTATCTTGCAAATAACTCTGCCACAGGCACAATGATTTCCATAGCTGGCTATGTTTTTGAATGTTTTGCTTCCTCCCTGATCCCCTAAATTTTGTACCATCTATGCCTGAAAAAGAGTTATGGAGGACTTGAAAGCTTGCCATAAGAGATGAGGAATGAAAGCACATGGAGGATTGTGGATGAAGAGAAGAGAAAAATTGAAACAGCATTATAGATGGTGAAATAGAAAGGTCACACATATAAAAGCAAAAGAAGTGGCAGCAAAATAACACAACAAAGAAATGAGAATGAACAAAATAAGAGTGGAAGAGGAAACCAATGGCATGTGCTCTTTCATGTTTTGGATTGCAAATCCCAGCATTCTCCAATAGTTCCTCAGACAGAATTCTGGAACAAACACCACACAAACACAAATTTGCGGAATCTAGCTTTTGCCCCCCTAGAAAAGGTCTTTTGGTTATTTACCTCCATAATTGTTTCATTTCATTTCATTCAGCCCTTCTTGCTGTATTGCTTCCTGTGAGTAGTAGTTTTTCAGGAGGTGAGCTCTATAGAGCCTAATGGGCAGTGAGATAATGATCACCAGCATCCGCTCTGTCCAGGAGGACCTGCCCCCCTGATTGGGCATGAGATGGAAGGGGTAGTTGACTAATGGTGTGCCAAGGACATTGGAAGTCGTAGTCTCACTGTCCATTAGAGACGCTAGAGGGAGCACCCAAAGAGGGGGCAAAATCTAGACATCAGCAGATTTGTTTTTCAGGTCTGTGGCTGCACAATAAAGACTGAATTACATTTATGGGATGCAGCACATGGTGAGATATACTAAACTTAAAATCAACTAATCAACAGAAGAGAGTAACAGTTAAAACATAACCATGCATTTATTTATAGAACACATCAAGAATGAGTAGTCATCCAGCAAAAATAATAATGGTTCTAATAATTTAACAACTTTCACACCCCTCTTTAACATCTACTCCCACCATATGCATTTTACTTATCCAAGCAGTTCCCCCACAGCCCACCCACCTGACTGCACCTGCTAGTATTCTTACTAGCTTTATTATTTTGCAGTTCAGTCTAAAAACACAAGAGCTAGAAAGACAATAGAGTAAATACATATACTGCTGCCCCACACCCAACACCATTACATTTTCAGGGAGATAATGACAAAGGGCTGCAAAAAGACTTTTAAGTGCATTCCACTCCATGTACCTACTATGTCTACATAATTTCAAACCATGAGAAGACAGAATGTGTTAACAACTTCACAGACTTGACCCCTACTGATCACACACACACATTCTTTAGAGCCATCTACTCACTCCATAGAAGTACAAGCTGGATTAGAGGCAGGGGAACTAGAGACCAAATTGCTAACATGCACTGGATTATGGAGAAAGCCAGAGAGTTCCAGAAAGCATCTACTTCTGCTTCACTGACATCTTTGACTGTGCGGACCACAGCAAACTTTGGCAAGTTCTTAAAGAAATGGGAATGCCTGACCACCTTATCCATCTCCTGAGAAATCTATATGTGGGACAGGAAGCAACATTTAGAACTGGATATGCAACAACTGATTGGTTCAAAATTGGGAAAGGAGTACGACAAGGCTGTATATTGTCTCCCTGCTTATTTAACTTATATGCAGAATACATCATGCGAAAGGCCGGACTGGAGGAATCCCAAGCCAGAATTAAGATTGCCGGAAGAAATATCAACAACCTCCGATATGCAGATGATAGTACTCTGATGGCAGAAAGTGAGGAAGAATTAAGGAACCTTGCAATAAGGATGAAAGAGGAGAGTGCCAAAAACGGTCTGAAGCTCAACATAAAAAAAACCAAACCAAAAAAACCAAGATCATGGCCACTGGTTCCATCAACTCCTGGCAAATAGAAGGGGAAGATATGGAGGCGGTGACAGATTTTTCCTCTTGGGCTCCATGATCAGTGCAGATGGGGACAGCAGTCAATAAATTAAGATGCCTGCTTCTTGGGAGGAAAGCGATGACAAACCTAGACAGCATCTTAAAAAGCAGAGACATCACCTTGCCAACAAAGGTCCGCATAGTCAGAGCTATGGTTTTTCCTGTCGTGATGTATGGAAGTGAGAGCTGGACCATAAAGAAGGCTGACCACCAAAGAATGAATGCTTTTGAATTGTGGTGCTGGAGGAGACTTTTGAGAATCCCCTGGACTGCAAGGAGAACAAACCTATCCATTCTGAAGGAAATCAACCCTGAGTGCTCTCTGCAAGGACAGATCCTGAAGCTGAGCCTCCAATACTTTTGCCATCTCATGAGAAGAGAAGACTCCCTGGAAAAGACCCTGATGTTGGAAAAATGTGCAGGCAAGGTGAGAAGGGGATGACAAAGGATGAGATGTTTATCATTGTATTCTGGTCTGTGCTAGCAATCATTCTACCACTCCCTTTTCTGCTACAAGGAGAAAGAAGCTTCAGGGAAAAATATTCTAAATTTTATTTCATTTTGGCATCTAATTAAGATAAAATTAATTATTAACATTATAAATTTGGCCCCTGGCTGTTCCCTGGACAGAAGCCTGCTCTCCCACCCATTTGAGTCTGACATTCCTTATTCAATATCTCTCCCCTGGAAGCAGCTTCTGGTGTGAGCTATGACTGCCATCATTATCTCTAGTTGCTCTTTTCTGGGCTCATTTATAATTTAAATCTGTAGCATTTCTTCCATTTCCTCTGGGAAAGTGATCTAAGGTAACCACCTTCAGTCTGTATCATAAGCATCTGTACTGACATTATTAAAAAATTAAAACTCTTTCTTACTAAATATATCAGGACATTTTTCTGCTCTACTCAGATATCCTTCCATAGCCCTATCACTATATTCTAGCTACAAAATCAAACTGAAGGAACTCTAAAAACCAGAACGTATACTGAATTGAGACAATTTCTCACAGATCTACAAACCTTTTGGTCCTGAAAGTCTTTTCTAGACAACTATCAACTTTTTGTCTCAATTCAGTTAAAAGAATAATGAAGAATATGTCTGTGAGGGTTAAGGAAAATTATTACAAAGTAATATGGAGATGGTAAATGCCAATGAAACTGAACATAATGAATAAAAAATATCATCGTCATTTTGGAGATATAAAAAAGAAAAGGGAACATATTTACATATGTGATGGACATGTGAAACAAGGCAAAAGGATTGGACAATGAATTTCAAAGAGATAAAGGAAATGATGGGTATCCAATGATAGCTCTGTTAAACATGTCTGGAGATATTCAATTGGAATAGGAAAAAAAATTAATTACTATTACATTAACAATGGGAAGACTGATATTTGCAAAGAGCTGGAAAAATAATAGTTTATTTTGAAGGATTGGGAGAAAGAAATGTGGAGTATGACTATTAATGATAAATTAATGTGTAAATTAAAAGTTAGAAAAGGATTATTGAAAACGATTTTTTGAAAGGAGATACGGAATGCTTTGTTAACACACATATTTGGTAAAAGACAAGGTTTCACCATACCCAAGAATCATTATACAGTGGTGCCTCGATTAACGGGTGCCCCGTTTAACGACGAATCCGCATAGCGATGGCTTTTTTGCGATCGCATTGCAATGTTTTCTATGGGGAAAACATCGGCATTTAGCCACAGCTGAGCGGTGGGAGCTTCCCCTTCAGAAGCCATCCGGACCC